AATAAAAAAAAATATATAAAAAAACACACACACAACACTGTTCCGACAAGTGATTCCATTCGACAACCCGTCGTACAATCACAACGTTATGAAAGATAGTGTGGGAGATAATGGATCGTGGTGGCGCAAAAAAAATACTCCGGATAATGGAGTCTAAAATTCCGGATAATCGAACCCCGGATAATCGAGTCTCCGGAAAATCGAGTCCGATCTGTAGTCATATTGGTAAGAGATCATCATCATATTATTGATTTGTCATCATTGTGTTAGGAAGTGTTAAACAGTTTTACAAGTAAATTACAATCAATACTTTATTATGCCTAATAAGATTATATTAATTAACACTAATTACGTACAGGTTAATCCTAAAATAATGTTGAATTTATTAAACATATTGCATTTGTGAATTACGAAGCTTGAGATCGATGGTAAGTAGATTGTATTGAACTAAAATAAATTCAAACTAATAATAATAAAATTTATAGCTTTGAGCTGTCGCAACACAAATAAGACGATTCGCTACATAGAGCTCAGAAAAGTAGATTTTCGCAACAGGACTAGACACATTTTCATGATTCTGGTACTCTAATGAACTTACTTAATAAAAAAATCCCTGGTTGATGGCAAAATTTTCTTATAATTCCAGGCTTTTAAGATCTTTTGAAATTCCTTGCTAATTCCAGGTTTTCAAGGTTTTTCGAGGTAGTTGCCTAACAAACTGGTGTAATTTACTATTTTGTATTTTCGAACTTTTTGAGCTAATTTATCTCATTTGCCAACATCAAGTGAATGTGTGTGAACGTGATTCTTCCGCCAAAAGCAACTTTGATAATGCTAATTTTTAAGCATTTTTGCATATTTCCCGAGAAAACTCTTTTTTCATTTCCCATTAACGGGTGACTGAATTCCTATTCTTTGATCACTATTGTGCACTGAATGCTGAGATGTGAAATGCAGTTCTACCCAGGGCGTCACAATATCGGCTTCAATCGACAAAATCAATACGACGAAGAGACTGCTAGTTTTATTTTTTTTCTGTTGCAGTCGACGTCTACAAACAAATTGTCTATCGCTATTCTCTCTTTCTCCCGTGCCATCATTCGTGTTTCTTTCAAGCTTCGGTGAATCGGACGAGTGAAGCCCGCTCGACTTCGATCAGCTAGCCTTTTATGGAGGCGTTCGAAGTTGAACAGCTTATAATATAATATTATCATATTATGATAAAAATCAAAATATATAGGGGAAATGTATGTAATGTCGGCCTATATGTCCCTAATTTGAGCCCATACATAAATTTATCAATCGACTAAATTTTCAATAGCGACCAAAAATATCCGTCCTAATAACACGTTCATCTAGATAAAATTCATAAATAGCAGACTTATAGCGATGGACCCAATCTTAGATCCATAGGCCAACATTAGAGCCATTTCCCCTATTGAATGCATTTTGCACATATGTAGACATTAGAAGATTACACGTACTGCCTTTCCTCCACATGTTTATTTTAAAGAAATAACGAAAGTAGGTGACAAAGTGTCGGTGGAAGAAATTGAAAGCCAATGTGAGGCTGCGTTTCAACTCAACAAGCCGAGAAAAGTACAGCCAGGCTTTAAGTAAACCCCACATGTATCAATATATTGACGCGGAGAGGAACTATTGACAATCATATTGATGATTTGAATACGGAAAAGAAACGGATTGGTTAGCACTCGTACCTCTAACTGCCAAAGTAATGAGTTCAAATCTCACCCCCGGACAAGTCATGAATGATACAAGCGCAAATAAAAATAATAGTTATAATAATAATAAAAATAAAAAAGAAAAGAAAAATAATATCAGTGGGACCGTCGTTAAACAATCCTGCTAAATTCAAACAAGTCCATTGATGTTTATCCACTGCATTCACGTCAGCATTGTTTGATATCAGGAGTTCTGCAACGTTCTTATGACCATTGAATGCTGCGTTATGAAGGGGAGTTCTACCGGTAGTTGATCAAATGTTAACAGTGGATCCTCTGTCAATCAACAGTTGGATCAGCTGATCGTGTCCATTTTGAGCTGCATAAGAAAGAGCAGTCCTTTGTTCTTTATCCACTGCATTCACGTCAGCATTGTTTGATATCAAAAGTTCTGCAACGCTCTTATGACCATTCCGTGCTGCGCTATGAAGGGGAGTTCTACCGGTAATTGAACACATGTTAACAGTGGATCCTTTGTCAATCAACAGTTGGATCAATTGGTCATGTCCATTTTGAGCTGCATAATAAAGAGAAGTCCTTTGTTCTTTATCAACTGCATTAACGTCAGCATTGTTTGATATCAAGAGTTCTGCAACGTTCTTATGACCATTGAGTGCTGCGGTATGAAGTGGAGTTCTACCGGTAATTGAACAAATGTTAACAGTGGATCCTTTGTCAATAAACAGTTGGATCAAGTGATCGTGTCCATTTTGAGCTGCATAAGAAAGAGCAGTCCTTTGGTCTTTATCGATAGCATTCACGTCAGCATTGTTTGATATCAAGAGTTCTGCAACGTTCTTATGCCCATTGAATGCTGCGGTATGAAGTGAAGTTCTACCGGCAATTGAACAAATGTTAACAGATGAACCGTTGTTAATAAACAGCTTGATCAATTGGTCGTGTCCATTTTGAGCTGCATAATAAAGAGCAGTCCTTTGTTCTTTATCCACTGTATTCACGTCAGCATTGTTTGATATCAAGAGTTCTGCAACGTTCTTATGACCATTGAGTGCTGCGGTATGAAGCGGAGTTCTACCGGTAATTGAACAAATGTTAACAGTGGATCCTTTGTCAATCAAAAGTTGAATCAACGGATCGTGTCCATTTTGAGCTGCATAAGAAAGAGCAGTCCTTTGTTCTTTATCCACTGCATTCACGTCAGCATTGTTTGATATCAAGAGTTCTGCAACGTTCTTATGACCATTGAATGCTGCGTTATGAAGTGGAGTTCTACCGGTAATTGAACACATGTTAACAGCGGAACCATTGTCAATCAACAGTTGGATCAACTGGTCGTGTCCATTTTGAGCAGCTAAATTCAAAGGAGTCCATTGTTTTTCATCCACTGCATTCACGTCAGCATTGTTTGATATCAAGAGTTCTGCAACGTTCTTATGACCATTCAATGCTGCGGTATGAAGGGGAGTTCTTCCTGTAGTTGAACAAATGTCAACAGTGGATCCTTTTTCAATCAACAGTTGAATCAACTGATCGTGTCCATTTTTGGATGCATAATGAATAGCAGTCCAATGATCTTTATCCACTGGATTCAGGTCAACATTGTTTGATATCAGGAGTTCTGCAACGTTCGTTCGACCATTCCGTGCTGCGCTATGAAGTGGAGTTATACCGGCAATTGAACAAATGTTAACAATGGCATCATTGTCAATCAACATTTGGATCAAGTGATCGTGTCCATTTTCAGCAGCTAAATTCAAAGGAGTCAATTGTTCTTTATCCACTGCATTCACGTCAGCATTGTTTGATATCAAGAGTTCTGCAACGTTCTTATGACCATTGAATGCTGCGTTATGAAGCGGAGTTCTACCGGTAATTGAACAAAAGTCAACAGTGGAACCATTGTCAATCAACAGTTGGATCAACTGATCGTGTCCATTTTGAGCAGCTAAATTCAAAGGAGTCCATTTTTTTTCATCCACTGCATTAACGTCAGCATTGTTTGATATCAAGAGTTCTGCAACGTTCTTATGACCATTCAATGCTGCGTTATGAAGGGGAGTTCTTCCTGTAGTTGAACAAATGTTAACAGTGGATCCTTTTTCAATCAACAGTTGGATCAACTGATCGTGTCCATTTTGGGCAGCATAATGGATAGCAGTCCATTGATCTTCATCCACTGCATTCACGTCAGCATTGTTTGATATCAGGAGTTCTGCAACGTTCTTTTGACCATTGAATGCTGCGTTATGAAGGGGAGTTCTACCGGTAATTGAACAAATTTTAACAGTGGATCTTTTGTCAATCAACAGTTGGATCAAGTGATTGTGTCCATTTTGAGCTGCATAATGAATAGCAGTCCATTGTTTTTCATCCACTGCATTCACGTCAGCATTGTTTGATATCAAGAGTTCTGCAACGTTCTTATGACCATTCCGTGCTGCGCTATGAAGTGGAGTTATACCGGAAATTGAACAAATGTTAACAATGGCATCATTGTCAATCAACAGTTGGATCAAGTGATCGTGTCCATTTTGAGCAGCTAAATTCAAAGGAGTCCATTGATTTTTGTCCACTGCATTCACGTCAGCATTGTTTGATATCAAGAGTTTTGCAACATTCTTATGACCATTCCGTGCTGCGCTATGAAGTGGAGTTATACCGGCAATTGAACAAATGTTAACAATGGCATCATTGTCAATCAACAGTTGGATCAAGTGATCGTGTCCATTTTCAGCAGCTAAATTCAAAGGAGTCCATTTTTTTTCATCCACTGCATTCACGTCAGCATTGTTTGATATCAAGAGTTCTGCAACGTTCTTATGCCCATTGAATGCTGCGTTATGAAGTGGAGTTCTGCCGGTAATTGAACAAAAGTCAACAGTGGATCCTTTGTCAATCAACAGTTGGATCAACTGATCGTGTCCATTTTGAGCAGCTAAATTCAAAGGAGTCCATTGATTTTTATCCACTGCATTCATGTCAGCATTGTTTGATATCAAGAGTTCTGCAACGTTCTTATGACCATTCCGTGCTGCGCTATGAAGTGGAGTTATACCGGCAATTGAACAAATGTTAACAATGGCATCATTGTCAATCAACATTTGGATCAAGTGATCGTGTCCATTTTCAGCAGCTAAATTCAAAGGAGTCCATTGTTTTTCATCCATAGCATTCACGTCAGCATTGTTTAATATCAAGAGCTCTGCAACGTTCTTATGACCATGCCATGCTGCGTTATGAAGTGGAGTTCTGCCGGTAATTGAACAAAAGTCAACAGTGGATCCTTTGTCAATTAACAGTTGGATTAAGTGATCGTGTCTATTTTGAGCAGCTAAATTCAAAGGAGTCCATTGATTTTTATCCACTGCATTCACGTCAGCATTATTTGATATCAATAGTTCTGCAACGTTCTTATGACCATTCCGTGCTGCGCTATGCAGTGGAGTTATACCGGCAATTGAACAAATGTTAACAATGGCATCATTGTCAATCAACAGTTGGATCAACTGATCGTGTCCATTTTGGGCAGCATAATGGATAGCAGTCCATTGATCTTCATCCACTGCATTCACGTCAGCATTGTTTGATATCAGGAGTTCTGCAACGTTCTTTTGACCATTGAATGCTGCGTTATGAAGGGGAGTTCTACCGGTAATTGAACAAATTTTAACAGTGGATCTTTTGTCAATCAACAGTTGGATCAAGTGATTGTGTCCATTTTGAGCTGCATAATGAATAGCACTCCATTGATTGTCGTCCACTGCATTCACGTCAGCATTGTTTGATATCAAAAGTTCTGCAACGCTCTTATGACCATTCCGTGCTGCGCTATGAAGTGGAGTTCTACCGGTTATTGAACACATGTTAACAGTGGATCCTTTGTCAATCAACAGTTGGATCAACTGATCGTGTCCATTTTGAGCTGCATAAGAAAGAGCAGTCCTTTGGTCTTTATCGATAGCATTCACGTCAGCATTGTTTGATATCAAGAGTTCTGCAACGTTCTTATGCCCATTGAATGCTGCGGTATGAAGTGAAGTTCTACCGGCAATTGAACAAATGTTAACAGATGAACCGTTGTTAATAAACAGCTTGATCAATTGGTCGTGTCCATTTTGAGCTGCATAATAAAGAGCAGTCCTTTGTTCTTTATCCACTGTATTCACGTCAGCATTGTTTGATATCAAGAGTTCTGCAACGTTCTTATGACCATTGAGTGCTGCGGTATGAAGCGGAGTTCTACCGGTAATTGAACAAATGTTAACAGTGGATCCTTTGTCAATCAAAAGTTGAATCAACGGATCGTGTCCATTTTGAGCTGCATAAGAAAGAGCAGTCCTTTGTTCTTTATCCACTGCATTCACGTCAGCATTGTTTGATATCAAGAGTTCTGCAACGTTCTTATGACCATTGAATGCTGCGTTATGAAGTGGAGTTCTACCGGTAATTGAACACATGTTAACAGCGGAACCATTGTCAATCAACAGTTGGATCAACTGGTCGTGTCCATTTTGAGCAGCTAAATTCAAAGGAGTCCATTGTTTTTCATCCACTGCATTCACGTCAGCATTGTTTGATATCAAGAGTTCTGCAACGTTCTTATGACCATTCAATGCTGCGGTATGAAGGGGAGTTCTTCCTGTAGTTGAACAAATGTCAACAGTGGATCCTTTTTCAATCAACAGTTGAATCAACTGATCGTGTCCATTTTTGGATGCATAATGAATAGCAGTCCAATGATCTTTATCCACTGGATTCAGGTCAACATTGTTTGATATCAGGAGTTCTGCAACGTTCGTTCGACCATTCCGTGCTGCGCTATGAAGTGGAGTTATACCGGCAATTGAACAAATGTTAACAATGGCATCATTGTCAATCAACATTTGGATCAAGTGATCGTGTCCATTTTCAGCAGCTAAATTCAAAGGAGTCAATTGTTCTTTATCCACTGCATTCACGTCAGCATTGTTTGATATCAAGAGTTCTGCAACGTTCTTATGACCATTGAATGCTGCGTTATGAAGCGGAGTTCTACCGGTAATTGAACAAAAGTCAACAGTGGAACCATTGTCAATCAACAGTTGGATCAACTGATCGTGTCCATTTTGAGCAGCTAAATTCAAAGGAGTCCATTTTTTTTCATCCACTGCATTAACGTCAGCATTGTTTGATATCAAGAGTTCTGCAACGTTCTTATGACCATTCAATGCTGCGTTATGAAGGGGAGTTCTTCCTGTAGTTGAACAAATGTTAACAGTGGATCCTTTTTCAATCAACAGTTGGATCAACTGATCGTGTCCATTTTGGGCAGCATAATGGATAGCAGTCCATTGATCTTCATCCACTGCATTCACGTCAGCATTGTTTGATATCAGGAGTTCTGCAACGTTCTTTTGACCATTGAATGCTGCGTTATGAAGGGGAGTTCTACCGGTAATTGAACAAATTTTAACAGTGGATCTTTTGTCAATCAACAGTTGGATCAAGTGATTGTGTCCATTTTGAGCTGCATAATGAATAGCAGTCCATTGTTTTTCATCCACTGCATTCACGTCAGCATTGTTTGATATCAAGAGTTCTGCAACGTTCTTATGACCATTCCGTGCTGCGCTATGAAGTGGAGTTATACCGGAAATTGAACAAATGTTAACAATGGCATCATTGTCAATCAACAGTTGGATCAAGTGATCGTGTCCATTTTGAGCAGCTAAATTCAAAGGAGTCCATTGATTTTTGTCCACTGCATTCACGTCAGCATTGTTTGATATCAAGAGTTTTGCAACATTCTTATGACCATTCCGTGCTGCGCTATGAAGTGGAGTTATACCGGCAATTGAACAAATGTTAACAATGGCATCATTGTCAATCAACAGTTGGATCAAGTGATCGTGTCCATTTTCAGCAGCTAAATTCAAAGGAGTCCATTTTTTTTCATCCACTGCATTCACGTCAGCATTGTTTGATATCAAGAGTTCTGCAACGTTCTTATGCCCATTGAATGCTGCGTTATGAAGTGGAGTTCTGCCGGTAATTGAACAAAAGTCAACAGTGGATCCTTTGTCAATCAACAGTTGGATCAACTGATCGTGTCCATTTTGAGCAGCTAAATTCAAAGGAGTCCATTGATTTTTATCCACTGCATTCATGTCAGCATTGTTTGATATCAAGAGTTCTGCAACGTTCTTATGACCATTCCGTGCTGCGCTATGAAGTGGAGTTATACCGGCAATTGAACAAATGTTAACAATGGCATCATTGTCAATCAACATTTGGATCAAGTGATCGTGTCCATTTTCAGCAGCTAAATTCAAAGGAGTCCATTGTTTTTCATCCATAGCATTCACGTCAGCATTGTTTAATATCAAGAGCTCTGCAACGTTCTTATGACCATGCCATGCTGCGTTATGAAGTGGAGTTCTGCCGGTAATTGAACAAAAGTCAACAGTGGATCCTTTGTCAATTAACAGTTGGATTAAGTGATCGTGTCTATTTTGAGCAGCTAAATTCAAAGGAGTCCATTGATTTTTATCCACTGCATTCACGTCAGCATTATTTGATATCAATAGTTCTGCAACGTTCTTATGACCATTCCGTGCTGCGCTATGCAGTGGAGTTATACCGGCAATTGAACAAATGTTAACAATGGCATCATTGTCAATCAACAGTTGGATCAACTGATCGTGTCCATTTTCAGCAGCTAAATTCAAAGGAGTCCATTGTTTTTCATCCACTGCATTCACGTCAGCATTGTTTGATATCAAGAGCTCTGCAACGTTCTTATGACCATTGAATACTGCGTTATGAAGTGGAGTTCTACCAGTAGTTGAACAAATGTCAACAGTGGATCCTTTGTCAATCAACAGTTGGATCAACTGATCGTGTCCATTTTTAGCAGCTAAATTCAAAGGAGTCCATTGATTTTTATCCACTGCATTCACGTCAGCATTGTTTGATATCAAGAGTTCTGCAACGGTTTTATGACCATTCCGTGCTGCGCTATGAAGTGGAGTTATACCATCAACTGAACAAATGTGAACAATGACATCATTATCAATCAACAGTTGGATCAACTGATCGTGTCCATTTTGAGCAGCTAAATTCAAAGGAGTCCATTGATTCTCATCCACTGCATTCACGTCAGCATTGTTTGATATCAAGAGTTCTGCAACGTTCTTTTGACCATTGAATGCTGCGTTATGAAGTGGAGTTCTACCGGTAGTTGAACAAATGTTAACAGTGGATCCTTTGTCAATCAACAGTTGCATCAACTGATCGTGTCCATTTTGAGCTGCATAATGAATAGCACTCCATTGATCTTCATCCACTGTATTCACGTCACCTTTATTCTTTAATATGAATTCAATTATTTCAACAAACCCACGTTTCGCAGCAACCAGTATCATTGCCGTTAGGTTGCTAGTTGAGAATGATTTAAAATGTCGTTCTAAAGAGGAAATGATACCCAAACAGTCACACTCACATGCCCACAGTGCAATCTTCCAGCTTATTTTACACAGATTATTTAAGATCTTGAGATATACCTGGTTTCCTTCCATCTTGGTCATAGACAATCTTCGAGCAACAATATATGTAGACCAAATGCGTATGACAATTTCTCCTGACAACGTAAAAATGTTGTCGCATACATATTTTGCCACAAAGTATTCACTGTAAGACCGGTGGCAAAAATTAACCTTCTGCTGGACTACATGAACCAGTTGTGATGTATCTGATTCCTGTTCGCATCGGTTTTTAAATTGATCGTGTATTTCTCTATAATATTGATTTTTTAACAATTCCTTACGTACTTCAACGTTTAGCAGCTCCATAGCTAACAACTGATGCTTCAAAATAAAATCACCCATCAATGAATCCAATTCAACGTCGCTCAGAGCAAATTTGGGCTTAAATTTTTCCATAAATTTTCTGTTAAAACATCCTCTTATAAACTGTTCGTATAGCTGTGCAAAATTCATTTTTTCTTTAGTCAAATCAATGAGCTGATTTGTATTCTGTTTCTTCAATGAATAGTAATTTTTAAATTTTTCTAAATAAACCTCCGCCAACATTTTTACCATAAGTGGCGCAACACAAATTTCACCTAAATTTAAAGGGATATTTGATTTAAATGTGTTTAAAATATGTGTCGAGTAGCTTGCAAAGCAATGTTCATCTAGATCTGGGACGTGCCACATCTTTCTCAAATATTTGATTTGGTTTTCCACACTGAACGGCTCCAGAAACATAGATCTTACATTAAATTTACTCTCTAATAATACTTGCATATGTTTTCTGGCGCTGATGATGATTCGAATGCTCTTTTTCAACTTGAGTTGTTCCAGCATCTCAATCACCCTGTCGGTGTACTTAGAGTGGATCTCGTCGAAGCCATCCATCAGTATAAGAATGGAATAGCCTCTGTCATCCCTTTCATGTGGGGCATTTTCAATAAGATCGCAATTTCGCTCTGAAAGGATCACTTTGAGCACATTAAGCACCTTCAAGTTTGAAATGTGTTCCTTTTTGTCGAGCTCCATCACCAACTCGCTTAAATACACCAACAGTACATTAACGACATTTTGCTTCTGCACTTCAAACGCTACAAACTGAAGCAAGCTAGTCTTCCCCATTCCGGGGTCTGACAGAAGTACGATGATCTGATGGTCTTCAAATGTTTCCTCAAGCTCTTCAACAAACTGAGTGTCACTCATCTGTCGTGAAAGTTCTTCAATGTTGTCTTCCATACCTGTTTTCTCAACTTCAATGTCATTGGTCGGTATACTACATTTGTATATAATACGGCGATTGATGTAATATTTTTGCAATTGTTTTGCTTCCTTACCTTCAAGGTTATTGTTATCATTCTGAATTTCACTAAGACAATTTAGTACATCACTTTTTTTCAAAATTGCTTTCATTTTATTATCTTTAGGTTTATTGAGTTTGTCAAATTTTAATATCAGATCTCTAAATATCAGATCGATATTGCTCAATTTTCTTAGTATTTCTGGACAAATCCACGATTTTAACCACGTCCACAGTTCGTTTTCAATCATTGGACACAAATCATTTGGTTGGCCCACCGATAGAGAAAAGTCGTTGAAGAATGCCATAATTTCCTCATCACTAACATAACGTGGCAAATGTTTCACCCTTGATTTTTTTAGTAAAAAGTTATTCACTGTTATTGTCTTCTTCATATCAAGCTTATCTTTTTCCAGAACTTTAAACAACTTGGCAACATTGAATTGATCGCTTTCCGAGTTGAAGCTATCTAAAAAACTGCAATGCTTCTTTTTTATTGTTAAAACGTCTTTCAGAGGAGTACTATAGGTTTCTAAAATTTTACTGACGGTTCCATTGTTGAAAAGCTCTTTGATTGCCTTTTTAAGGTTTTCGAAATCTTTGTTGATAAAATTGCTCAACTCCTTAATAGCTTTTTCGGTTGGATTCAGTTTCAGGTGTCGGGCCTTGGATCCAGGCAATCGTAGGATTTCATCTACTTCTACCTCAATAGGCGTCACCCAATCAACATCGGAGATTTTTAAATCCTTATTAGTAAGTATATAGAACTGCTTTTTGTATTGGTCTTTCTTAAAGTTTTCAACAACTTTCAGATAGGATTCCAGGTACTTGTAAATACTGAAGTCTCCGTTGTGTTGATCTTTTTCCTCAGTCGGAAATAGTGCCTTCAAATCGATAACAATTACCTCGCCACCTTTGACAACGGCGTGCTTCACCTGGAGGAAGTGTATCACCTCACGTCCATCGTCAAAGATCACTACGTCATCATACTTGTCGGCTTTTGCCATTTCATATGCCAATCTGACATTGAAACTGTCTCTCCGCATCCGTAGAAAATAGGCTACTGCAACGTGTTTTTGAAATACTTCGCCGTGGTAACCCGATTGGATTTTACTTATATATGTTCCGTCTTGTAGTAGGTTCGGTATTTTTATTTGTTTTTTAGTAATATTAATCAAAAGCTTGATCAATTGGTCGTGTCTATTTTGAGCTGCATAATAAAGAGCAGTCCTTTGTTCTTTATCCACTGCATTCACGTCAGCATTGTTTGATATCAAGAGTTCTGCAACGTTCTTATGACCATTGAATGCTGCGCTATGAAGTGGAGTTTTGCCGGTAGTCGAACAAATGTTAACAGCGGCACCGTTCGTAATCAACAGTTTGATTAACTGTTCATGTCCATTTTGAGCAGCTAAATTCAAAGGAGTCCATTGTTTTTCATCCACTGCATTCACGTCAGCATTGTTTGATATCAAGAGTTCTGCAACGTTCTTATGACCATTCAATGCTGCGTTATGAAGGGGAGTTCTACCTGTTGTTGAACAAATGTTAACAGTGGATCCTTTTTCAATCAACAGTTGGATCAACTGATCGTGTCCATTTTGGGCTGCATAATGGATAGCAGTCCATTGATCTTCATCCACTGCATTCACGTCAGCATTGTTTGATATCAAGAGCTCTGCAACGTTCTTATGACCATTCAATGCTGCGTTATGAAGGGGAGTTCTACCGGTAATTGAACAAATGTTAACAGTGGATCCTTTTTCAATCAACAGTTGGATCAACTGATCGTGTCCATTTTGTGCTGCATAATGGATAGCAGTCCATTGTTTTTCATCCACTGCATTCACGTCAGCATTGTTTGATATCAAGAGTTCTGCAACGTTCTTATGACCATTCCGTGCTGCGCTATGAAGTGGAGTTATACCGGAAATTGAACAAATTTTAACAATGGCATCATTGTCAATCAACAGTTGGATCAACTGATCGTGTCCATTTTGAGCAGCTAAATTCAAAGGAGTCCATTGATTCTCATCCACTGCATTCACATCAGCATTGTTTGATATCAAGAGTTCTGCAACGTTCTTATGACCATTGAATGCTGCGTTATGAAGTGGAGTTCTACCGGTAGTTGAACAAATGTTAACAGTGGATCCTTTGTCAATCAACAGTTGCATCAACTGATCGTGTCCATTTTGAGCTGCATAATGAATAGCACTCCATTGATCTTCATCCACTGTATTCACGTCACCTTTATTCTTTAATATGAATTCAATTATTTCAACAAACCCACGTTTCGCAGCAACCAGTATCATAGCCGTTAGGTTGCTAGTTGAGAATGATTTAAAATGTCGTTCTAAAGAGGAAATGATACCCAAACAGTCACACTCACATGCCCACAGTGCAATCTTCCAGCTTATTTTACACAGATTATTTAAGATCTTGAGATATACCTGGTTTCCTTCCATCTTGGTCATAGACAATCTTCGAGCAACAATATATGTAGACCAAATGCGTATGACAATTTCTCCTGACAACGTAAAAATGTTGTCGCATACATATTTTGCCACAAAGTATTCACTGTAAGACCGGTGGCAAAAATTAACCTTCTGCTGGACTACATGAACCAGTTGTGATGTATCTGATTCCTGTTCGCATCGGTTTTTAAATTGATCGTGTATTTCTCTATAATATTGATTTTTTAACAATTCCTTACGTACTTCAATGTTTAGCAGCTCCATAGCTAACAACTGATGCTTCAAAATAAAATCACCCATCAATGAATCCAATTCAACGTCGCTCAGAGCAAATTTGGGCTTAAATTTTTCCATAATTGTTTTGTTAAAACATCTTCTTATAAACTGTTCGTATAGCTGTGCAATATTAATTTTGTCTTTAGTCAGATCAACGAGCTGATTTGTATTCTGTTTCTGCAATAAATGGTAATTTTTAAATTTTTCTAAATAAACCTCCGCCAGCATGTTTACCATGAGTGGCACACCACAAATTTCGCCTAAATTTGAAGGGATATTTGATTTAAATGTGTTTAAAATATGTGTCGAGTAGCTTGCAAAGCAATGTTCATCTAGATCTGGGACGTGCCACATCTTTCTCAAATATTTGATTTGGTTTTCCACACTGAACGGCTCCAGAAACATAGATCTTACATTAAATTTACTCTCTAATAATACTTGCATATGTTTTCTGGCGCTGATGATGATTCGAATGCTCTTTTTCAACATGAGTTGTTCCAGCATCTCAATCACCCTGTCGGTGTACTTAGAGTGGATCTCGTCGAAGCCATCCATCAGTATAAGAATGGAATAGCCTCTGTCATCCCTTTCATGTGGGGTATTTTCAATGAGATCGCAATTTCGCTCTGAAAGGATCACTTTGAGCACATTAAGCACCTTCAAGTTTGAAATGTGTTCCTTTTTGTCGAGCTCCATCACCAACTCGTTGAAATACACCAACAGTACATTAACGACATTTTGCTTCTGCACTTCAAACGCTACAAACTGAAGCAAGCTAGTCTTCCCCATTCCGGGGTCTGCCAGAAGTACGATGATCTGATGGTCTTCAAATGTTTCCTCAAGCTCTTCAACAAACTGAGTGTCACTCATCTGTCGTGAAAGTTCTTCAATGTTGTCTTCCATACCTGTTTTCTCAACTTCATCGACATCTTCGTCATTGGTCGGTTTACTATATTTGTATATAATACGGCGATTGATGTAATATTTTTGAAATTGTTTTGCTTCCTTACCTTCTAGGTTATTGTTATCATTCTGAATTTCGCTAAGACAGTTTAGTACATCACTTTTTTTCAAAATTGCTTTCATTTTATTATCTTTAGGTTTATTGAGTTTGTCAAATTTTAATATCAAATCTCTAAATATCAGATCGATATTACTCAATTTTCCTAGTATTTCTGGACAGATCCACGATTCAAACCACGTCCACAGCTCGTTTTCAATCATCGGACGCAAATCATTTGGTTGACCCACCGATAGAGAAAAGTCGTTGAAGAATGCCATAATTTCCTCATCACTAACATAACGTGGCAAATGTTTCACCCTTGATTTTTTTAGTAAAAAGTTATTCACTGTTATTGTCTTCTTCATATCAAGCTTATCTTTTTCCAGAACTTTAAACAACTTGGCAACATTGAATTGATCGCTTTCCGAGTTGAAGCTATCTAAAAAACTGCAATGCTTCTTTTTTATTGTTAAAACGTCTTTCAGAGGAGTACTATAGGTTTCTAAAATTTTACTGACGGTTCCATTGTTGAAAAGCTCTTTGATTGCCTTTTTAAGGTTTTCGAAATCTTTGTTGATAAAATTGCTCAACTCCTTAATAGCTTTTTCGGTTGGATTCAGTTTCAGGTGTCGGGCCTTGGATCCAGGAAATCGTAGGATTTCATCTACTTCTACCTCAATAGGCGTCACCCAATCAACATCGGAGATTTTTAAATCCTTATTAGTAAGTATATAGAACTGCTTTTTGTATTGGTCTTTCTTAAAGTTTTCAACAATTTTCAGATAGGATTCCAGGTACTTGTAAATACTGAAGTCTCCGTTGTGTTGATCTTTTTCCTCGGTTGGAAATAGTGCCTTCAAATCAATAACATTTACCTCACCACCTTTAGCAACGGCGTGCTCCACCTGGAGGAAGTGTAGCACCTCACGTCCATCGTCAATGATCACTACGTCATCATACTTGTCGGCTTCTGACACTTCATATGCCAATCTGACATTGAAACTGTCTCTCCGCATCCATAGAAAATAGGCTACTGCAACGTGTTTTTCGAATACTTCGCCGTGGTAGCCTGATTGGATTTTACTTATATATGTTCCGTCTTGTAGTAGGTTCAGCATTTTGAATCAACTGGAGAATAGAAGAGAAATAACGTATTAGCGAAAGTGACAAAGTTGCTACAGTCTGACGATGGTGACATTTTTTCACTTCAACAACAGTCCCGTGATGGAGCCGACAAATTACTTCTCCGACTTGCATTAAACTTTGCATAATTGTTTACTGTGGGCAATGATTAACATTTATAAAAAATGTGGCCATTTTGGACCATGTAAAATTTTCAAAACGGCACTTATGATTAAAATGACGGTTGAGACAAAGTTGTAGAAAAACATAATATTTTTATGGAAAAAAATATACAAGAAAGTGGTTCCAGTATGAAGAGCTTGAGTGGTGTTGAGTACTTGGCACTGATGAAGTCTGCAAGTAGAAGACGAAATACGCCTATCTGTCAAATTATAAGCAAATGTAACGGAATTTAAAGGAAATAAACCAACCCACCCACTCAAAGCTCTTCATAAAGGGATTCCGTTAAGAGGTTCGAAAAATTTAAAGAATTGGTTCCAGTAGTTTGAAGGACAAATTAAAACAAATGTTAATATATTAATGTCTTTACTATCGAGATTTTAACTTGGTTCATTCATTCATTCCATGTTTCATATAATTAATACTTATAAAACAAGATTTAATGCATTTTAAATAATCTTTTAAAAATAAGCATTAATGCGTACCAACAAAAAGTTCCAAATTTACCACAAAATCATGCCCTACGTTTTTTTTTTAGTTTTAAAGTGTCCTTAGTTTTGAATATTCCAAAAGCTTACATTTCTTAAACGTTTTGTATTTTTTTATAAACCGCGCAAGGAAATTTTGAGGCTACATTTGTGTTAAATTTTTATTTAAAATAAATTATAAACATTTTTTGGAAGCAGAAAGACATTATTTTCCTCTGCAACTTTGTTTCAGACGACATTTCGATCAGGAATGCCGTTTCCGCGCTACAGTTTTTAGAAAACTTAAATGGACGCCGTTTTGAAAATTTTACAATTACAATACTAAAATAATACCACACACGTATTCTTTTGATATCCATATATCAGTTTTAGTTACTGACAAAGTATTTTACGTCAAGTTTTTTGGTATTTTACCTCTTATGTCATGCTGATCAACACAAAATTTTGTTATCAGTTCAGAATTAGGTATTCATAAGTTATTTTTTTTTTCTTTATTAAAGAGATTTTCAGGCTTGGGCTGGTTCGTCTCTTTCATAAGTTATTTTCTCCTGCTGTAACGCACATCTCGCAACCTGCGAGATTTCCACCACTGAATACGCTTGCTTTCTCCAGAACAAGTGGCTTGAGCGCCACCTCCGAAGAGGACCACTCGTCAAGGCTTGATTTGCCCGGCAAGAAACCCAACCTCAGGGAGGGTTTATGTGTGGAAGAAACCGAAATTTAGTTTGAGGGCGATTCAGCAGACTGAAATCCCTTGATGGATTGAAATCCTCACACGGTCGCTTCAAACGGTCCTAAGTGAAAGTTGGTGCTAAGCGTCGTTCTACCGAAGCACAACAACCCCGACCATAAGGGAATAACAAATTTATTACAGCTTGTGTTATTTTGTTTCACTATAATTTGTAACACAGCTTGTTACACTTAAGATCTCGGATGTAGTTAAAATAATAAAAAAATGTAACAAAAATTTCCTTTAGATACAACAAATATATATTTCGCTATGTTACTTTCATAACAAAAACATAACAAATTTTGCAACACAATTCTGTTGTGCTATTACAAAATTATATCAAATCGTGTTATAATCATATATTTCACTTTGTAAATCAAAAACTCAGATTGATTAACTGTGTAAATGTAATACAAAACATTATCAAACTCATAGAAAATATAATGCTTGAAAGACACAAGAAAAAATATATTTGATTTTTTATTGGGGTTTGGTCAATAATATCTGGTTGTGATAAAATCTTGTTAAGAATCAGTTACAAAATCATACAAAAAATTTGTTAAAGATTTGTTATATTATTTTCTTGGTGATAGGTTTACTTAACTTAATTACATCATAATCAGTTATCCATAACAAGGCTTGTTATAATCTTGTTATTTTATTGTTATACCCTTCTGGTTGGAACCCCACCCAAATTTATCATCACTGGAGGAACTTTCCCTTTCAGATTTCCTCCACCGATCCTGAGCCAAAATAGTACAGTTGGTTTATACCTGAATTGACTGTTGCTTTGTGTGCTTTCTCTAATAAATGGGTACCATACACTAACGCTATCATAGATGGGACGACCATACCACATAAAGTTGGGTGGTTAGCCGCTTCTTATGGTTATTGTTTATGCGGGTTACTACCGCTTGCAACCGTACGTTCAGATCTGAATTCGAAGTGTATTGGCAACAGCGCACACACACAAACGAATGAAATCTGTATTAGAACAGTCGCATCTATACCTCATTTGCTCAGAGATGCCAGGCTTATTTAGAAAAAATCTGGCAAAACCCGAAAAAAATGTCTGGCGAAAATCTGGCACAGCAAATTAACATAGGAAGCTGCCAGATTTCTCAAAAAATCGGTCTGGCAGAGCAAAAATTTCTCTGGCTGTGTCAGATAAATCTGGCAACCTGGCAACGCTGTTTGCTACAATCATCGTGCTTGGAACGTAGTGAACCGAATGGGCTGTATTTATAAATTTCTTTATGACCAAGTTTTCAATGTTTCTGTCGTCATGACAGCCTTCAAAAACCGACGACATCCCTCAACTTAACCAAGTAGCTGTCACGGAAAGGCTGTCACGAAACATTATATATAATTGATATACGGCAGTGGAGTATGGAAGAAACCCAGAAGAATGATCCCGAACAGACATGTCGGCCCGATGTCGGATCAATTTAAGGTCAATTTATAATCGACGTTGGCCAAATGTCGGGTCGTTTATGTTGGGTCAATGTCGGGCCAACGGTTGGGTTTGGTAGAAGTCAGGTTGGTGTCGGGTAGGCTTATATTTTTCGCCGGAATGTCGGAATGTCTGATCTACTCAAGACTGTGCGTTTTAAAAAAAATAT